TACTGTCTTCGCATTCTCGCAGCCATACTTCCTCGCTTACTCACATCTAATAATCACCTTTCCTCTGTCATACTCCACTCCGAACTCTAATAATCGCAATTACGCGGTTACGCAATGAAACTCACGCGTGTATCCTGAGTAAAGTTGAACGATTGAACGATACTCTGACCAAGACTGCACCGAAAATCTGCGAGGTAACTGTGAAGGGAGTCTTAGAGTATAGATTGCGAAGCCCAGCAGAGTGAATTTTACGCTAGAAGGCAACGGTCCCGCGAATCTTTCACGCATCGTGGGGCCGTTTGGAAGTCCGAAGGAGTCTCTGGACCCTCGAACAGGGACAAAAGATTTGCACGTTGAACCGCAGGCTTAGCCGCGCCTGTGATGACGTAAACGCGACTAGTGCGAGCGACTAGGGGTATAGAGGATACGTCGGAAGGGTTGTGCGAGAGAAAAGGGAGGGCAGAGTAGATTGCTACGAAGTTAGCTGGTTAACTCGACGAAACAACGGTAGCAAGTTAGCGCGAGAAGTTGGCGTCAGTTGGCACCAGCGCGTCGTGGAGCTGCAGGAGGACGCGAGAGGGAGGTGCAGACCTCGAAGCAGGAGCTCTAACTATTTCATTGTTTCATAATTGAAGCATTTGCGGTCTCACCGTTATGCATATATCTATTAGAGAGGCTGAAGCGTGAAAACGCAGCGCTGTCGGCGCCGAAACTTGCTTCGTTATTGAAGTAAAACGGGGCCGTCTTAGAGACTAGAGCTGATTTCTGCTCCAACCTGGCCGGGAAGACGTCTTCCGTGATCGTGGATGACGACAATCGCGCAGGAATAATAATCGGACACCCTGACACGTCGATGGTGTCAATGGTGTAGCGAACTTCGTTGTCCCAACTTCCAACGTCCATCACCGTACATGATGGCGCGTTTGGATTAACGCGTCTGTCATTGTTCCATATTTCAGGACAGCCACCTTCCCCATGGCCGTTCTGACCGGTGCAATCTTGAGGGTTCTGCTTCAATTTTCCTCAGTGACGATAACGTATGGTTCCCGTGCTTGGTCGTTTGCAACGCATCTTGAAAATGTGGCAAAGATCGGATTTATAGAGATTGAACTTTAAACTTTGATTATGTAAGGGTTTACAAAGCGAGGGCTAGGTCGCAAGTCTAACTCTCGGTGACCGATTCGATATTCTTTCGTCGCTACTAGGTACGCACGTTCTCGTCTCTCGCGTAAACTGTCTCTCAAAGAACTGTGTAAGGACTGTCTCCTAATACTCTTTCCTAAGAACTGTCTCGCTACGCTTTTCGGCCTACCCTTTTAAGGATGGGCCTCCTTTGTTCGTTCATCAGGATCGCCGCTTAGGTCAAGTGGATCGTCGCTTCGACTTGAGACTCCAGTTATCGCTGCTAAGTGGTCGTCACTCGTCGCTTTATTGGTAACCGGAGCTCGCACGCTTTTCCATACTCTTACAATTATATTTTATTCTCTTGTGGTACAAATGCACGGAGACTCGAGTCTTCTGAGATGCGTGATGCAGACGGTGGATTGTCGAAAGAGTCCCGTCGAACACTTCAGCCAGGGTCTTATAGGCCCTATGACGACCCATTGCGTCACTCAGTCCTGCTTCGAAAACTGATAGGCTTGATGGTTCCTCGAAGCAACGTAGATCCCTATGCAGGGTGACGCCATCCAAATGAAGACTCCTCTCACAAAAGTTAGAACCGATCTCTAGGTAAAATAAAATATCGACTACCTCGACGGGTTATTACGAATCACGAATCAATTAATCGACAACGAAATTGCAAAGTTCCACCAATTTCTTGAGACAAACCTGCAATTCATTAATCCCAAGATATACCGATTACCTCGTCTTATGGGACACATTCGCGAAAAGGATCCAGCAGCGATGAGTTAATCGGTGAACCAGAATTTTTTTTTTTTTATTTACTTCACAAGTTTTACAATCAATTCCTCAAATGGGAATTATAAGTAAAAATGATAGCTTTATGGGTGACATGAAAAGCAAATACGTAGATCGTTGCATCGGTTCATTACTTGCAGTATGTGTAGTACAATGATGGAGTTAGAGTTATTAGGAGAATCGACGTACCAGGTTCAGGGGAGCGAATCTTTTTAGTCTAAATGGAGATTTATTTGGATTTGACAACTTTCTAGCTAATTGATTTTTGCGACACGTTAACTGACTTATGTGGCGTTTGCTAAATTGGGTGATTTCGCATTTTACTAAAGGTATAGCCACGTCACGATGTATTACGCCGTTTGTAACGTACCATGGGGCATTACATATGTTATGTAGCGTTTTAGATTGGAATCTCTGTATGATCTTGATATTGGAGTTGCTGGCCGTGCCCCATAGCTGTATACCATAAGTCCAGACAGGCTCGAGGATGATCTTGTATAATAGTAGCTTGTTTTCCGTCTTTAGTTTAGAGCGATTACCGATCAGCCAATACAGTTTTTTCATTTTAAGCCTCAGCTGCTTACATTTGGTTTGGATGTGTCTTTTCCATGTCAGTCTTCTGTCCAGGATCATTCCAAGATATTTAGCCGAGTCGTTTTGGGGTATTACAGTGTTGTTCATCTTAACTGGAGGACATGTTTGCTTGCGTAGGGTGAAGGATGAACCGGAATACAGCTGATTTTTGTACGCGTTGCACGAAGATTATGTAGCACGCTTGAAACATGGATGGTAATGAAGCAAATTTTTCCGCGTCGTTGACTGCACACGATGTCATGGCGATGGTGAACCGACGAATTAGTCAGTGACACGATCGTTCGATTTATGGAAATCGGTTTAACGTCGTCGCGCGTCCGTATATTTCGTATTAACGTAATACCTATTCCCAGCAGCGTTTCCGGCAGATTTGCATGCATTGTCCGATGGTCAATTAAAATATTCCAGTATTTATGTTCCATCTGAACGGTTGTTACGAGACAAAAGGGGACACGCGTGGATCTCGCCCGGAGAGTTCACGCGGCTGGATAACTCGTCCCTGGGCGTTTCGCGGTACAAATTCGATGGCACAACGTTAGACCCGTTATGGAATCGTGTTTCTGGGGATAACGTTGATTAACTTATCCACTCGCTTCCGAGAATCATCCCGGCGCTCTTTATCTCGGGATTCATGTTAGATGCATTTGCCAGGCGGTTATGGAGTTATTAAAACGAAGATCGTCCTGTTCTAGGTTACCAGAGTTACTAGAGTATCTCTGATCGCATATAAATGTTAGATTTTCTATAATTTTCTAGTAACACTTTCTTTCGTTATGCGTGTTATAATTACACGAGGCTATGATGCGTTTATTTTCAGATAGGATTTTCGATGAGATTGCGAGTAAAGAAGGCGATCAAAGAATAATTCAAATTAATAGTTTTCAAACGTAAAGAAATTGGATTTAGTTATCTCATACAGTTGCACAGGATAAAGTTTATCATTTTTTCCTATTTTTTAATTGATATCTAAATTGTCACAGTTCGTGAAAACTAATATTGTTTCACGTCGTGTCTCACCATATACTTTTTCGTCTCATACGATGCAGTCAGATTGTTCAAAGAATGCCACGCATAGAATTCTAGAGAAGATAAGACTCTTAAGTTACTTATAAGATAAGTCACTTCTCTGTCTAATCCTTTCGTAATAATTTCACTTGATCTTAGTAAAATTTCGAAGAAAATTCGAAACTTACTCGGATTCTACCTACAATCTATCAGAAATTTCCTTCGGTTTACGATATTTCTGAAAAATGGCACCTCTTCCAAATTTAGTACGAAAACCAATCACATGCCTCTATATCTAGTATAACTCTGGATAAAAACATAGCAAATGAAAGGATAATGCAGAGAAATTCGAAATGCAGAAATGTTCAGAACACCTGAACCATTATGCCATAAAATAATTGAACTTATTAAAATAACCAGTCCACGTAAATCCTCCAGGTACAATGTTAAAATTAACGTAGCCAGCAGCTGTGTGCGCGTTTGCACTTGTGCTTGTGTGTGCCTACGATGTTGCATAGAACACGGTTACAGCATTGCACGGGGATAGGTATTGGTCGAGCACCGTGCCTGAGATACGTAATCACCGTTGTGCACCTGACTGGACTCGGTGGAATAATTTTGCGGCGAAGATCATCTCGGTAATATAGATCCGGGGTAGGCATGGTCGGCGAGCCAACGTGTTTCGCACGCTGGTTTCGCGACGCCAGGCGTAAATAAAGGTTAAAGATTCAACGTCATAAAGCACCGTGTCAACGCGCAAGCAAATATTAACGGTTGTTCTACGGGAAAATTCTGTGCGGAATATATATCGAATAGTTGATGTGTAAACCAATAGATCGTTTCTTTGTACAATATATTCCCGCGGAAGAAGATTGAAGCAAGAGTGATAAGAGAATTTTATAGAATAGATAACACGTACTAGGGTGAACTATAAATACCTGACTGCTTCACGACAGTTCATTTCCTCGATGAATTGGTTTCTTTAAGTGATTTGTATGGAAATTTATCATTATGGGAATATCGCGTAGGAATTTATTTCTAGAAAATCAAGTTTTCTACCTGGTTAATATGACGAAGGACCTTGCAAATCTTTTCAATATAAGTACAAAGTGAGGAGCAGGAGGTAATAGTTGTCCTATATTCAGTTGAACTATGTTCAAAACCATCCACGTGTCACACAGCCACGCAAATCACACACGTCACACATACGCTCGTGACGGACACAACGAAACAAATCCGCACTCGTTTCGGACGACCACGAGAATTTGCAACTTTTCACAATGAATCGTAGTCAGACCCCTTGATTTCATACCGATCCAAAAAATTCCAGGTACCCGAAAGCTTATTTTCATCACACAGACTTATAGGGCACGTCGTAAGCTTTCTCACGATGAAAGCTCGCGTTCGTACTCGATCTAGTAAGCTCACAGCGGAGCCTGAAAGCTCTCTCAGCCACTAATTGCCACCGTTTACCATTTCAGTATTTTCGACGCTGCATAAAACGAACAACGCGTCACACGCCCACGCAAATCACACACATCACACATACGCTCGTGACGGTCACAACGAAACAAACCGCACTCGATTCGGACGACCTCGAAAATTTCCAAGTTTTATCAGTGAATCGCAGACAGCCCCCTTGCATCAATACCGACCCAAAAAATCTCAGGTACCTGAAAGCTCACTTTAAGGACACAGACTTATAGGGCACGTCGTAAGCTTTCTCACGATGAAAGCTCGCGTTCGTACTCGATCTAATAAGCTCACAGCGGAGCCTAAAAGCTCTCTCAGCCACTAATTGCCATCGTTTACCATTTCAGTATTTTCGACGATGTAAAAAACGAACAACGCGTCACACGCCCACGAAAATCACTCACATCACACATACGCTCGTGGCGGTCACAACGAAACAATCCGCACTCGATTCGGACGATCTCCAAAATTTCCAAGTTTTATCAGTGAATCAATCGCAGACAGCTCCTTTGCATCAATACCGACCCAAAAAGTCGCAGGTACCCGAAAGTTCACTTTTACCCTTAGAGTGCTGTGGACCCATCTTTGCGCCCGGCGTAAGTGACCAGCCAGGACGATGGACGCATATAAGCGATGTGCAATTTTGTCGGTCTTCCATGCAATAGTATTACATGTGACTTTATGTGAGACAAATATGTGCGTGTTTCTTAGCAACGGCAGCAGAAAAAGACAAATGATGGAACATGTAATACACTCGATTGCGGGTTAATTCTTTTGTATATCTGTTCCTATTATCATTAGTAATGTATTGTATTGCGAATGTAAATGTTGTATTGTAAACTGTAAAATGGTATAAGAAATTTTTCTTCCATTTAATGGATTTAGCAATTTACAATTCGTATATTGTATATAAAAATTCTTCTAAATCATAATCAAGCTTTCACAAATTTTATTTAACTCTCGTAAGAGATATTTTGCGAAGGTATCCCGAAGATAGACCCACAGCAGAAGCAAGAAATAGGAAATCCGAAGATTCATCCTTCTCGTCAACTGGGAAGCACTTTTATCAAAATATCCGAATGAAGCGGGTAAAGTACAACCAACAAGCAGAAAAAGCATTGTTCGAGCGAAACATATAGTAGGACGAGACACGTGATATCAATGCAGAAAATGCGAAGTCGGTTTATGTCTTGACAATTGTTTCGAAATTTATCATACACAAAGAAGCTATTAGTTCTTGTTATACTTATTGCGTTTAGTCCTTGCTCCTTATTTTTATGTTAAGATATATTGTAAATTTTATTGATTCTAATATATAATTGATGCTCGAAAATCAAGTTCTTTTATTATTTAACCTACTCTAAAAGAATTATAATAATAACCTGTTAGTTGCGCCTTGAACAGTTAATCAACACATCTCCAACGAACGAAAAGAATTCCGTTCACAGCGATCGTAAGCGCTAACTACGCACAAACCCACTGGAGCACTTCGGCAGAGAGTTTTCCGCACTCTAAGGGTTAACGACACAGGCTCACAGAGCGCACCCCAAGCTCACTCATGTCAGAAGCTCGCGCTCCTGCTCCATCTACTAAGTTCACAGCAGAGCCTGAAAGCTCTCTCAGCGATCAATTGTCATCTATTACCATTTCAGTATTTCCGACGCTATAAAAAACGAACCACGCGTCGCACGCCGACGAAAATCACACACATCACACACACGCTCATGGAGGTCACAAACAACTCATCCGCATTCGATTCCGACGACCACGAAAATTTGCCACTTTTCGCAATGAATCCTGGACAGGCCCCTAGCTTCCATACCGATCCAAAAATGACAGGAACCCGAAAGCTCACTTTAAGCACTCAGGCTTATAGGGCACGTCGCAAGCTATCTTGTGTTAAAAGCACGCGCTCCTGCTCCTTCTACTAAGCTCACAGCAAAGCTTCAAACCTCTCGTAGCAACCAATTGCCATCTTTTACTGTTTCAGTATTTCCGACGCTATAAAAAACGAA